TGATTTTGATATCCTGGTACTAAACCTGCAAGTATAGACTACTGAATAGCGAACATCGTACTCCGTCACCTACAACTTACTCTTGTACCACCTTTATGGTTATGATATCCTGGTACTTAATCTTCAAGTGTGTACTGAATAACAACATCGTATTTCCTCAATAAATTGCAAATAATTTTGTTGTTGTATCTCAACGAGTTATATAGTCCTGGTAATAATGCCACTAAAACGCAGCACACCACGTCTCATTTAACGGTTTTATTCCACGCATTTTTTCTTACGGTTTTACTATCACATTTTTTTCAGTTCGGTCGCGCAGCAAAATCCCTATCGCCTCCAAGCCTGCCGTAAGGAACTTTCGACCTCACAACCACCACCATATGATTTTGATATCCTGGTACTAAACCTGCAAGTATAGACTACTGAATAGCGAACATCGTACTCCGTCACCTACAACTTACTCTTGTACCACCTTTATGGTTATGATATCCTGGTACTTAATATTCAAGTTTCATTTAACGGTTTTATTCCACGCATTTTTTCTTACGGTTTTACTATCACATTTTTTTCAGTTCGGCCGCGCAGCAAAATCCCTATCCTCCAAGCCTGTCATAAGGAACTTTCGTTCCAAAAAAGTTGAAGTTACTGCGGTTTGTAAAAAGTGGTAAATAAAAATGTACGTAGTGTGCACGGACCATACGTTCGGAAGCGAAACTTCTTTTCTTAAATAACCTAACATTAGGCGGTGCATAAGGCATAGGGGAATGGAGCAGGTTTCAGGCTGGTCCGCGTCTCACGTCAGTGATGAGGGCACGACGACGCGTAGTGATGTGCTACACAACGAAGACATTCTCGATTTCCGGCACACGAAGCAGTATTTACACTGAAATATAGGCTGGTTCGCGGCGGTCTTTACGGTTCCCCATGCACGCTAGTTGAGCGAGTAAGTGAATTCATATAGTCATGACAAAGTTTTTATTGAAAAAGCTAGTTTGTTCTTAAGTCCAATGGGGGCGCTGCTTATTTACCTTAGTAACTTTGACATTGGCGATACGAATTCGGATCTGTCAAAGTTCGTACTTGGAGCACAGTAGCTGAACGCGTATCCAATGTGTGCGTCCACACTGCGAGCCTGACGCGGTTGCGACAACGGGCAACAAAACTATCATAGTTTTCGTAATTGTAAATTATGTTTCTATGTCCATTTTGGTGAAAAGTAACCAAATATACTTAAAATTTAAGAAGATGCAAATGATTTAATGATATAATTAAAACACTGTTTATTTCTATTGAACCAGAAACAATAAAATCAACGAGTGCAAGCTCACGAAAACTATCATAGTTTTCGTAATTGTAAAACTCGTACTAAGGGTACAGGGTGACAGTATACTGGCCAGTGGTAATGACGTCACGAATCCGACGCCATGTTGTACTGGTATGCTACCATATTTTTACCAAGAAAACGAATATGACGTATGACCGAGCTTGCGTGAGATGCATTCAAATTTGATTTCTTTTTTATTTAAAGAACAATTAACGGCATCCGAACAAAAAGGATTCCTTTTAATTGATGAGGAGAATAAAAAATATCCTTTATTCGCACTATTTTTAATATTTCGTCGAATTATGCCGTCAGTGCTCTGGCAATATATTTCGGAACAATTTACCAGTATAGCGTCGATTCATGACGTCATTAGCACTGGCCAGTATACTGGTATATATTACGGAATATATCCCTAGTCAGCGAGCGACCCAATGCGCGGGCTCAGACCAAATAAAAAATGGTTGAGCGAAGCGATGGCTGTTTCACGCGTCATTTTCGTGAACGGGTGCTGCCAGCGGGGATGAGTGTGCTCTTGCTACATTACTTACTTACTTCAAATTATATATAATATATACTTTTTTTAAATCAGTTTTTATATTTTATTATTTATAGTCATAATTATTATATCACTTACCAGGGCTTGTTTACCGGATAATTTTCAAACCTAAATCAGTGTCAAGTACATTAGGAGCGTTTTATTTAGGTTTGGCTCTACCTTAACCTTAAAAAACCGGTTTTCTTAAAAAGCGATATCAAATAGGTTTTGATTCAATTTAGCGGTTTTTAAAGGGTTTCATTTCGCTTTTACTGGCGGCATCGATAATAAATGAATAACTTGACTTACTAGACGCTAGCAAACGTGTCAATAAATACATCAATCTCTGAGCATTAACAAGTTGTGACTTGATTAGTTTAAACAAAACAAACTTCAAGCGATGCCGACGCGTGCACGTGTCGCTCTGGATTAAACCGGTTTATTAAGGTTTTAGGTATTGCTTTCATTACGGACGCGCTCCGAACGAAACCTTTACTAAAAACCGGTACTAACCTTTATTTACCGGTATTTTCGAAACCGGTTTCAGGCCCTGTCATTTACATTTGTAATGGAAAGTGACTTCATGAGATCTCATATTGAAGTCATTTTTCAATTTGACGATTCTGTATATAATACAAGGAGAACAAAACAGCCTATGCTGAGTTTCTTGTAGGTTCTTCTCAGTACAAGGTCTCCCGCCGTAGATTTTCGAACTGATAGCATAACTCTTCGACATTAACAAGTGCTTGTAAGAGTCTAGATTGAATTAATTGAATTGATCTGAGCCATCTTTACATATAGGGCCATCTATAAAATGAAATTTTCAACAAACGGCTACTGGAGGATTCACGTAACGTCACCCTTCTCAATGTCTGACGGGCTCGGTTTTTTTTCCTATATTCTACCACCCCCATAGCACCACAATTTGATATCACAGTGATAAATAATCCCACCTTAGAGAAGAGCAATAAATTTCCGTAAACAACAAACCGAAATCGGACTTCGAAGCACGAAATCGGACTTCCGAAAACGAAAGCACGAATTTCGAATCCGATTTACATTTGGATACTCACTCATTACTTGGTGGTATTAGATCGCTAGCGTTTTGGTTCGGTTAGATTTCTGAAATCGGATTTTCTTGTTGAGAAATCGTTTGGTATCGATTTGTGTTAGAAATCGGATTTTGGATTCGTTTTGATATATCGGACGCATGCCTAGTCGCTTGGCTTGGCCGGCATGAGCGCAGTGTGTCTTTGGCAGTGTGTTACGAATCGCCTTGCACACAACTCCACATCACTCGTCCCTCCGTCTTTTATAATACAATTATTTCTCTGTATCTCGATACTTATCTCTATATTAATAGGGTATTTGACAGTATTAAAAATAAAGTGCCAATTGTTAGCATCTGTCTTTAAAATGAATATTGGCAGGGGTTTTTACTATTTTTACAAAAAAATATTCCTAATTTTATTAAAAACCCACGAAAAAGATAATAGTTTTCTAATCTATTGTCACGTGATCCAAAACGCTTGGGATTGGCGGAGCCTAAAATGACATCACACGCAAGTAAATTTCCAGTTAAAGTGACATTAAATTATATTGTTTGACGTTGTAATAACAGTCGTGTGACGACACACACTTGTAAGACGCCATATTGTCCAGAGAAACGTTTTCGCGGCAACTTGAAAATGGAGTTTTTGATTTGGATATTTTTACTGAAATACACACCAGAATGATGAATATCCACTTTTTACGGACTCCATAAACATTCGTCAATAACGTGAGATCGTTTTCTAAAACTTGTCAAATACCCTATTGTATTTCCTCTACAGTGTTTTACTTCGTATCCGCTCGCTATTTGTAGGGATAGTAACATTACATCCTCGCAAGCACCCGAATACCCAAATAGTTGTTCGTGCTTAGTATACTGTACCATAAAGTATATATGTACCTCTCCTTAGGCAATCAAATCATAGATGCGAAACATCAGTGACTGATGACAAATTATTTGGAAAAGCCAGTATGAACGAATCATTCGGAACTTAATAAATACAACAAATGCTAGAGCGTCATCTATCGTGAATACTTAGTGTCGCCGCACACGGGCCACACGCCACAGCCACAAACGCCGCCACGAGAAGCTAGTAGCGGTTACTAAAGTGGCTGAAGCGCGCGACAGCGGCCGACTAAGTGTCGCCGCACACGGGCCACCGACCACAACACCAGACGCTACAAATCGTCGTTGCTCGCTTCTTGTGGCCCGCACAGGCCACTAAATGCACCGATACAAAACGCCGCCACACGTCACTCGCGCGATTCCCCACCCCTCTCTCCCTTACCTGAGTCGGCCGCTGTCGCGCGCTTCAGCCACTTTAGTAGCCGCTTCTAGCTTCTCGTAGCGGCGTTTGTGGCTGTGGCGTGTGGCCCGTGTGCGGCGACACTAAGGTAAGGGAGAGAGGGCTGGGGAATCGCGCGAGTGACGTGTGGCGGCGTTTTGTATCGGCGCATTATGTGGCATGAAAGTTCGAGGGTAACTTGGCAAGGTGCATAAGCACCGTCTAATGTTAGGTTATTTAAGAAAAGAAGTTTCGCTTCCGACATGTGGTCCGTGCACACTATATTATTATTTACCACTATTTACAAACCGCAGTAACTTCAACTCCGAATGTTGGGTAATTACCTTTTTTTCGTATTGTCAAATTGTAAAAAAAATCTACGACTGGTCGTGATTGTGGCCTTCTAACGCGCGAGGTGCCCAGATGCGTCTCTTTACAAAACTCCTAGCATGAACCAATATCGAATTCAGATAGTTTGCGAGTACGAAATGCATTGTCAAATTTTGTATGGAAACTTGAACAGCAGCGCCACAACGGACGGAACGAGAACTAAAAATTTGACACATTTGACAATGACAGGAACTCGCAAAATATTCACATTCGATAATGGTTCGTACTAGGGGTACTGTACCCCTAGCACGAACTAATATCGAATTCGAATAGTTTGCAAGTAGGCAGTAACTAGGCATTTGCCTACGATCCGAAAAAACCTATGGTTGTAAAACATTTTACTTTACACTCAGTAGTCAACGTGGTTTCATTACACGACACCAATATTTATCCCAAAATAAAACCAAATGTAAAAGTGAGAAAATAGTTATTTAATTAACAGTAATACTAGAAAATAATGTCAAAGTTACAAAAGATAACAATGCAATGTTTATTACAAAAAAACGAGCGAGCCTTACAGTAGTCGCGTATGATGTGTAACATTTGAAACCTCACCTTATTTAAGTAAAAAAAGAAATAAAACCTACTACAAAAGGAATAAGCCATTTGAACATTATGTTCTAAAATCAAATCAATAGCGCGCGCTTTCGCGACTTCCTGTTACACACTTCCGTCCCATTTCACGAAATCACTCCCACGAATTGCAGGAAAGCGAGAGAAAAGATGTTACACATCAATAAAAAATATTGAATGAAATAACATGCAATTATTGTACCTACCTAATACTTAGAACACAATTTTATTATAAATGTTGGTAAGCATTCATAAAATGTAATAATTATTAATAATGATCCAATTATTATTTGTATACCTTATCAAAGGTGAAAATGATTTAATTTATTAAATAAAACAATATCATTTGTTCAGTCTAGGCTGTTACAAGCACTTGTGAATGTCGAAAAGCTACGCCATCGGTTTGCAAAACTATGGCGGGAGACCTTGTAATGAGAAGAACCGGCAAGAAACTACTGAGTTTCTTAAAAAAACAGCCTTTACTGAAATACAGAGTCGTCAAATTGAAAAATTACTTCAATATGAGGTAACTTAAACAATGTTTAAATGTAGTAGATATATATAATATTAAATTACCCACCTTTACTGTAATATCTAACTAGTAACCTACATTTTCCACCACAAAAATAAAACATTCTGATTCTAATAAAACTGTCTTTTATAAATGAATAATCACATTTTTTCATTTTTGACGCGAATAATATTTTAATGGACTCGTTAATTAACGTTTAATTATGTCATTTTTTTATATTAACGATTTGTTACTAAATAAATGAACGTTTTCACATACCAGTAAATAAACTAGGTACGTTAACAATGAATAGAATAGGTATTTCACCACCATATCGGCATAATACAATCTGGAAAGAAAAACAATTAATTAACAATTTTATTGTCCAAATTCTCGTTACGTATTGTGGAAGAACAGTACACCTAGCACGAACCATTATCGAATTCGAATAGTTTGCAAACCGAAATGACAATGTCAAATTTTGTATGGAAACTTGAACAGCAGCGGCTCAAAGTACGTAACGAGAACTAAAAATCAGTACACATTTGACAATGACATTTCGTAGTTGTAAACGTTCAAATCCCGCACTCGTATTTTTTATTATATGTTTTTTCCTTTTATTTATATATTTGTTTTAGACCCCAGCACCTGTTCTTATTTTTATTTGTCTCTCTTTTATTTAGGACTTAATAATTATAATTTAAAAAAATTGGACTAAAGATGGTAAACTGTGGAGATTGTGGAAGTTTTTTGGCGCCGGGCAATGATGTTGTTTGCTGTGCTTGCCCAATAAAATATCATAAGGCCGGCCTCGCCATCTAATAATATCAAAGAAAAAACTTTAATATTAGTTAATATCAAATAAAAAAAACTGCATAAATAAAATAAATAAATAGTTATAATTGCATAAGTTGATAATACCACATGGCCAACCATGTGGGCAGTGGCAAGATCGGGCCAAGTGACCAATCACTGCCTGTGCCTGTGCCCCACCCCCATCCCATCGTCACGATGACAATGACGACGTTGTCACGACGATGACAATGACGACGTTGTCATCGTGACGATGACGAAGACGATGACGATAATAATGACGATGACGATGACGATGACGATGACGATGACGATGACGATGACGATGACGATGACGATGACGATGACGATGACGATGTCCATGACGATGACGATGACGATGACCATGACGATGACGATGACGATGACGATGACGATGACGATGACGATGACGATGACGATGACGATGACGATGACGATGACGATGACGATGACGATGACGATGACGATGACGATGACGATGACGATGACGATGACGATGACGATGACGATGACGTTGACGATGACGACGACGATGACGATGACCATGACCATGACCATGACCATGACCATGACCATGACCATGACCATGACCATGACCATGACGATGACGATGACGATGACGATGACGATGACGATGACGATGACGATGACGATGACGATGACGATGACGATGACGATGACGATGACGATGACGACGACGATGACGATGACGATGACGATGACGATGACGATGACGATGACGATGACGATGACGATGACGATGACGATGACGAGGACCATGACCTTGACCATGACCATGACCAAGACAAAGACCACGACGATGACGATGACGTTGACGATGACGATGACGATGACGATGATGATACACACTACTACTACAGTCATACTACACAGTACTCACTGCCTATGCAGTCTCCTCGCTTGCGGCAATGTAGATGGGTCTTCTTTAAGGCAATATTCCCTGACACCCTTGATGTAAACCTTCATGTATGAACTCCAATTTATAACCTGCAATAGCAGAACAACATTTTTAAACTTCGTTTGGTTTGAGGCGCAGTTGGGGTGCTCTCTCTACCGCTATTAATGTGTGTTTGTTTGTAAAACAAATTACTATGTAAAAACATAATTTGTTGTATAATATATCTCAGAATAAAGGGGAGCGCAGGGTAATGGGGGCCTACTAAGGGCAAACTTTTATAAAAACCACATTTATTAACCTTCTTATAATTTTTAATTACGAACTCTTAAGAACAATCTTTAAGGTATGTTTTTATTGTGATAACTGTGGTTAGAAGAATTAAATTCATATGTCAAGGTACAATAATGATTTTACAAATAAAGTCAATCTCTGCTATTAGCGTGCAGGTAATGTAAGCCCATTTCACACTCATATGGGGAAATAAATAAATATTAGCAACACTCACACCAATTCGCACCTTTATTCCAATACTGTCATTATCATAAAAAAGCAAATTATGCAGCAGAGCAGCAAATGTGTAGATTCATAACGTAGCAAATAGATGGCGTTGAAAACTATTTTTTGAAGAATTTTGTTTAATGACAGTATTGGAATAAAGGTGCGAATTAGCCTAGCCCTAAAGTAAGCACTATAAGGCTTGTGTTATGGGATACTAGGATAACGGATAGAATACATATACTTTACATATATAAGTATACTTATATAGAAATACGTATTAAACATCCATGACTGGAGTACAAATGCTCGTGTTCATCACACAAACATCTGCCCCTACCGGGATTCGAACCCGAGACCTCTCGAGTCGGCGACGCCGTGAAACCCGGCGTACAAACCACTCGGCCACGGAGGTCGTCGAGTAAAAGTAAAGTAATACTAAGGATAAGGATATTCAAATGCATGGTCGGTAATGAAGCCGTCACTTTTCCCCGCGGTCCATACCTGCTATACTACAGCGCATTCAGAATTGCGCGTAGAGCCAAAGAAATAAGGTCTATATTCTTCCGCATATAGAAATATCGCGTAAAATTTAACAAGCTTGCATTTCGAAATGGCATAACTCTTTGACGCATGCGTTTTAATTAAGACCTTATGCAGTGTGCTTTAAAGGTGATTTTCAATGTTTAAATAATGCCTTATATATTGTTTAGACTACGCGATCATCTTACGGAGTACCTTTTGGACAGGTTTCGGGCATACTTTTGTTCGTGTTGGTGTTTCTAGGGTATTTAATATCGTTGGCTTACCTTCATATCAGTGAAAAATGTTTTGTCATCTTCCGGTAACACTTTTTGTCTCAACGCTTTCAGATTATCATTTTTGAAATGCCACTCTTTTGTCGTGAAGTACCGCATAGATTCCATGCCGTAGCGGATTCTTTTCTGTACATTCACCATGCTGTAATAATTTTACATAGTTATTGGTACCAATTCTGGCATGATTCTCTAAACTTAAAACTAAATTTAACATCAGTCTCTCCTTTTCATTCTGTATAGAGAATGACAAGGATATACTGCTGTCAAATTTAAGTTTAGGTTTAGAGAATCATGCCAGAATCGACACCATTTTGTTGTAAGTTGTTTTCTCGTGATCACACGTGTGTGACGAAGCTTCGGGTGGCTTCAACACTAAAATTACTGTACGAAATTTATTTATTTTTTTAATTTATTTATTTAATAGGTGTACTTACAGCGAAACTTATAGAAACATTAAAAAAATAAAATAATACTTATTCTAAGACATATATGCAAGCCTTTACAAGCACACACAACATTCAATTGAGAAAAGTACAATGTAATTAATAATCAATAATAATAATAAATGGAATTAATCAATCAAATCAATGAATAACCAATACGAAATAGTGCAATTAATAATCAATGTTTAATTTAAAATTAATAATGTATGTCAAATTGATGCAGAAAATAATAATGTAATGTCAAATTGATACAAAAAATAATAATAATAACTATAATAATGCGGAATTAATGAGAATTAATAAGAATCGAGCAGCTCAAACAATGTTGCTTTAAAGTTTTTCTGCGGAACGTCAAAAATGTCCAAGTTGGGTGATCTTGTGTTAATATCGTTATAGGTAAAAAGAAATAGAAATTTGAATTAAGTACACTCCCACAGCTTCACATACAAAATCGTTTCCTCTTTAAACTGTATGAATATAGTTTACAGAGTAAATTAATTGTAATTTTATGTTGCTGACGTTCAATTACTTTTATTTTTATTTTAATGTAATATTGTAAGCCCGAAATGGGCAAACTGTTGGCACTACCTCATTTTAAGTACCATTTGACCACAATTCTGGACAATAAATGATTATCTTATCTTCCCACAACCTCTTTTAGTGTCGCTGCATACGGACCACCGACCACAACCACAAAACGCCGCCACCGGCATATTTCTTGTAGTTTTCATATATTTTATATGGACTCGCCACACACGGTACGCCGGTGGTCGCCACACGTCACTCGCGCGATTCCCCACCCCTCTCTCCCTTACCTTAGTCGGCCGCTGTCGCGCGCTTCAGGCACTTTAGTAGCCGCTTCTAGATTCTCGTGGTGGCGTTTGTGGCTGTGGCGTGTGGCCCGTGTGCGGCGACACGTAGCGGGTCATATTATCGCCAGTCAAGATATCGTCTAGGGTGTCTAGACACGTAGACTGCTTATTCATTACGACAAAACCAATGCTCGAATGCAAATTTTAGCGAATTTAGTACCGAAGCAAAAGCAAAAATGGGAGAAGCATCGGGAGGAAATATAAAAATGGTAGGTGGTTTAGAGAAGACTTCAATAATGCGGGTAGGAAGCGCGTTCAATCTGCGATCGTATAAGCTATCAACTTTTCCTATAGTTCGTCATTGGGTGGGTTACCATAGCTTTATAATCGCGAGCTGTTTTGTGCTTCGGAAGGCATGTCAAGACGTTGTTCCCGGTTGCATCTGCAGTCGCGAGCGTCCACTAACACTCACTGGCTTACGTGCTAGGTCACGACCTGGCCTCCCTATAAAATCCATTGGGATAGCCTATGCTCCAGCAGTGGGGGACAATAAAAAGCTGCTGATAATTCCTTTACTTCCACCACCTGCTGAAACCACATCATTGGTTTTAGCAGGTGGTGGTGATCGCATTGTTACAGTTTCGTGGCATTGGGAAAAGATGATTGTAATCCCGTAGATTGCATTCCGTGAAATGAAATCTAGATCTTGCGAGAACTCAGCATCAAAACCAAACTGCCAACCAACTGTCTGTGATGTGGGGGACCTTGAAATTTTTGAGTGAAATAGCTAAGAAATATTGATATAACCTTGAAATGATTATGGTTACCGGTAAGTTGACGGCAAACGAACGATAGGACGCAGTTCTATTTCATAATGTGAATAGGTCCGATCCTTGCTGGAATCTAGCTACATAATGAAGTTTACGACGCTAAAGCAGACAGTCATTATCATCATCAGCCTATTAATGTTCCCATTATTATAAACGCGGATTGGAGGGCGGTAATAACTGAGATTCAGCCAGGAAGCATAGCTTAACGTGCCTTCCCAAGCACGGAGGAGCCCAAGATAGTAAAATTCTGGTCATCCATCCAGTGATCGACCTTTGCGAAAGTATCTTAAATTCAACGATAGCAGCCGAACGCGTTCACTACTTGTTCCATCGAGCTCGTCAAGACAGACTTAGATGGAAGAAAATTATCTTTCCCCAAAGGCATTCACGACCCTCAGTAATGAGGAATACTGAGTGAGGAGGAGGTGGCACTCACAAAGTTTTCTTTCTTAGTAGAATCATAATCAAGTCCACGAAGTAAGCGGGTAATATCATTGTGAAGAACAGCGCCACCTGGTGCTGCAGCCAGGAGCTCTTGGGCGAGCCGCCGGGATACCACAGGCACACGGAGAACGGGACCTCCTTCAAGTGATGAAGACCTGGTACAATCATTCATTCTTGTAAATTAATAGAAAATACCACTAATAGTGTATGGCTACCTACATCGCGCAAGAGAAATTGAGAGGATAACTCATCATATATGCCATGCCCGATCAACATCAGTCGGGCTCGTACCTGGGCGTTTTTCTGCGCCCACCACGACAACGGCTAACTAGAGCCGAGGTCCAGTCTCAGGCCGCCCTCTAGTTGAGCCGACCCCCTCAGGTTGAGTGGTCTAGAGGCTCCAGATGGAGCGTAGATTCTATTGGTCCATGGTGGTGGTCACACTAAGAACGATTTGCGTGTTTCTGTGGTGTTCACACGAATGGATGAAAGAGCTTTTGATTAATACAGTTCCTGGATACAAAGAGCTATGCAGGCAAAGAAAAGATAATTGTTCGTTAGAGCTTTGTACGTATAACGTACAGTTGCACCGTAGTCTGACAGTACACTGTACCAAAAATCGCTGTGATCCTTCTCATCATTAATTGCGAGATCCTTATATTTTACTAGCGGCCCGCCCTCGCTTCGCTTCGGTGTAGAGCTGAAGTGTAGACTACAGTTTTTGTTCTCAGGCTTGTATTATACACAATGACATTCATCTATGATTCTTCTTATACCTGCATGCAAAGTCTCAGCCCGATCGGTTTAAAATTGACAAACTTTCATTCCCTATTTTATCCCCTTGGGGGTAGAATTGATCAAAATCCTTTCTTAGCGGATGCCTACGTCATGACATCTACCTGCATGCCAAATTTCAGCCCGATCAGTCCAGTGGTTTGGGCTGAGCGTTGATAGTTCACTATGTCAGTCAGTCAGTCACCTTTGAGTTTTATATATATAGATGAATAGCCACTACATTAGCTACCAATAACTAAAGACAGAGAAGAATCGAAAAATACTTACCAAAGTCAAGAGCCTCTTTCCATGTGGCCGGATTATCGTCCGACAGCGTCAGATTGCATACTTTTAACTCTTTTGATCTGTAACAAGATCGGGTAGTACTCAGATTACACAAAATAAAATTAGGAAATACTATAAATTTTTAAGTAAGTACATTTTTGCAGTGTTTTTTAAGAAAATATAAGCGAAGCACATTCCTGCTTGGTCGTTCTTTGGGGGTAGTATAGCTCTTTCGCATAACCACTGAGATACTGTTAATTAATGAGAAGGAAAATCAAAATTCTAATACATTATGTTCCAACAAAAACATATTTCTAATGTCGTAGTAATTAATTTGATATAATTTATTGAACATTATTGAGAGATTGAGGCGTTTGAAGTTGTGCGTTTTTCCCGTAAACTAGCTTCAGTAGAACGATCAGTACAAATCTACTGTTTACTTCAAAAACAAAAAAACGTCAAAATCTTTCCTAAGGGGGTAAAGGAGGCGCTCAAAAAAATGTGAATGGGCTCTTAAGGTATCCCCCAACAATTTTCATGAAATTCGATGGAGATTCAACGAATGGACCGGGCGACATGCCTCAGGGGGACTGCGTTAGGGTACTAGGCAGTCCCCAGACGTGGTGGCCTATGCCGGAGCGGCACCTAGGACGCGCGGCTGGTCAGGCCGCGCCCAGGCCACCTTAGGGCCGTCGAAGACCGGTAGTCACCGCTGCCTGCCTTCTTCGGCCCATCCGTCTACGCCGGAGAGGGGGGGCTAGAGCGTCCTCCTCCCGCTCCCTCTCCGCTGCCTCCTTCTGCGTCATCACCGATTCGCAGAAGGAGGCGGCAGCCCTCCAGGCTCTCTCGCTACCAAGCATGGCTCTTACCATACTTGGCAGCGTGAGGCCTTCTCCGCCGAGCGCCGCGATCAGATCGCGGCGCTCATCTCGCCAGGCCGGGCACACGATCAACGTGTGCTCGGCCGTGTCGTCGGGAGAAGCGCAGTGATGACACCGCGGCGTCTCCTCCCGACGGGCGACTCGGTGCAGGCAGTGACCGAAGCACCCATGTCCGGTCAGTACCTGCACCAGGCGGTAGGTGAGGGTGCCCCGCTGGCGCCCTACCCACTCCTCCAACACCGGACGAATCGCCTCGATCGTCCGGTGGCCAGCGGCTGGGTTGGCGAGTGCCTCCACCCATCGGCGCAGAGCCTCCCCCTGCGCCTCGGTGCGGACCCGTTCTATCTCCTCTAGAACGGGTCGCTCGCCCCGCTCTCTCGCCGCGACCCGGTGTTGATGCACCTGGGACAGTACCAGGGCATCAATCTCCCACGGGAGCGTGCCTGCTAGGACGCAGGCAGCCCCGTGGCTAACCGTGCGGTAAGCCCACACGGCCCGGGTCGCGATGACCCTCTGCGGTCTTCGAAGGAGGGCCCTCGTGCGGGACGAGAGGCACTCCGCCCAGACCGGGGCCCTGTACAGCGCCATCGACTTTATCACGGAGTGATAAACCTGGGGGCCAATCGCCTAACGGAATTGCTTTGGAAAACGCTAACGCTTACGATTTTATTTTGTTATTTCTAGCCGCCTGAGGTATTCAAATGCCTCGCGCTCTTTCTTTTTCTTTTGCATTGGTAATAACAATATTAAAAAAAATGAGTGTGAGGTATTCGAAAACCTCAGGCGGCTAGAAATAACAATATAAAATCGTAAGCGTTAGCGTTTCCCAAAGCATTTCCGTTAGGCGATTGCCTAAAAGCCTGGGCGTGCTCGGAAATGTGGCGCACGCAGGTGCGTCGGCCCCGAGACCGCCCCCATATGGGCGTAGGAGGGTACCGGGGGGTTTGAGTGGAGTAGGATCAGTGTGGCCTTCCGCACTGGTCCTGCTTGAGTAGGGTCCGCACTGTTTCCCGTGCCGGCGAGTCCCACACACGCCGTGCGCCTAGTCAGCGTCACGGTATGGTGCGTAACTGCATTTCCCCTCGTCAAAAAAAAAAAAAGGGTAAGGGTTCCTTAAAATTGGGTAATCTAGTATGTATTTTATAAAAGATTTGAAAAATAAAAACTTACTTCTCCAAAGCTGTGGTGTACGCGAGGAGTATGCAGGCATTGACTGCCATATCAACTGGTATGACATCCGGATGTAGAGAATCGTCTAAATGCATAGATCTTATCGCACCTACAAATTTATATTAAGAAATTTAAGTGTACGTAACGTTGTTCTAAACTTTCGTGGTCACTAATCACTAACACGATAGATATATATAGAGTTCTACCCAGAAGGGATAGAACCTGGGAGCGTAGATGTTAATTGAAAGATACTGATAGATATAAGTTATTTATTTTGTTTTATCATTCAGGCTAATATAAAAGTATTTTATCTAAATACGAGAGGAATTCTTGGGGCCTGAAGATCTAATCTTGAATGGAACCTTCTATCAAAAGACAGACGATTCCTTATTTCAAATTAAAATCATGACATTAACTTTTTAATATAACTGCCAACTGTAGGCATTGCAAAAGCAAAGAGTTTACTTAAACAAGGAGGCTGTAACGTCTCGGACGTCACAGTACCTTGTTTTTTACAAGTCCTTGATTTATGGCACTTGTGACAGTGCCGAAATATTGGAAAATCGTAAAAAACTAAGTACATTGCAACAATCCCTATATTAATAAGTACGTTGATTTATAAGATCAAATAATAATATATCTTAATATATATCTTCATAATACATCCAAAGCTGTTATGGAACAGTCCTCGTGTCACTTTTCTTAAAATAAAACGCCTGAATTTATGAAATAGCAAACCTTTATCAACGCGCAAAGTAATACAGTTGAGTAATTTGCCATAATTTTTTTGGTAGGCGTTAAGAATATTTTCATTTAGTTTCATTACCTTTACCACAGCCGACCAGAAACCCTGTAGGACCGTTTAAATTGTCTACCCAACCAGGCATTGGTTCCTTATATGACGCGATCACTGGAAAAAAAGTAAATTAAGATATAATATTGTATTCATTCAAATTTAAAAGTAAAGTTTATTTCGTCTACTCACCGATAGATGGCCGTGCTATGACTATAGGGAATTTCTCAGCGTACTGTGCCACCAGGTCTTCGGCCAAAGCTTTTGTGTAAGCGTACGTATTAGGCTGAGGCTCTATGAGTCTGCAAATATGAGGATATAACCCTCAAACAGGAACTAAAGGCAGATGGAACGCACCGAACACGCAAGTGCGGTCATGAAAGCAATTACGATATCGAAAGCAGGGCTGGTAACCGGTTTCAAAAATACCGGTAAATAAAGGTTAACACCGGTTTTTAGTAAAGGTTTCGTTCGGAGCGCGTACGAAATGAAAGCGGTACCTAAAGCCTTAATAAACCGGTTTAATCCAGAGCGACACGTGCACGCGTCGGTATCGCTTGAAGTTTGTTTTGTTTGAACTAATCGAGTCACAACTTGTTAATGCTCAGAGATTGATGCATTTATTGACACGTTTGCTTGCGTCTAGTGAGTCAAGTTATTCATTTTGTAGTTGTGTACTGACACACTACTTCACTCACTCGCTCTGTTGTTGGAAAGAAACTGACATAAAATCATTATAAATTTGAATTGAAACGGCGAAGGCGATGCCGTCCGTAAGAGCGAAATGAAACCCTTTAAAAACCACTAAATTGATTCAAAACCTATTTGATTTCGCTTTTTAGAAAAACCGTTTTTTTTAAGGTTAAGGTAGAACCAATCCTAAATAAAACGCTCCTAATGTACTTGATACTGATTTAGGTTTGAAAATTAACCGGTAAACAAGCCCTGATCGAAAGCGAGAACATATTCCCATCAGTACGGTACAACGCATCGTGTTTTAAATACGTCCCGTGAATATTAAGTTGGTATCAAGACTGTGCCGCCTTGTTCAAACACTGTAAAAACTGTATACAAAGACAAAAGAAGTCTTGACTTTTGATCTCATATTTGCTTCGGGGGCCGCACTTGTGTGTTCGATGCGTTTTGTAATTTGAGATATTAACTATTTTAAGTTCAAATTTGAAACAGGAAACAGTTTTAATTAATGATATTTTGGTTGGACCAGCATGTTTTAAAGTTTTATTACTCAAAGAAAGTTGTGAACTGAAAAGACCTGCCAATGATTTGAATAACAATTCTTCGGCCAATGTTACCATTGAATTTCGTCATCATAATAAATAATAATGCGAAAATTTATCGTATTGTGCAATATCTCAAACTCCTGACACTTCTCTTAAGTAAAAATTAAGGAGTAGGTGCATAAAAGCTATTACCCAATAAAATTTTAAAAAGGGTAATTTGCTGTTACTTTTTACAACAGTAAGAGTATGTGGGACAATATTTATAATACATCCTGACTAACAAATTTATTATCATTATCACCACCAGCCTATTAATGTCCCCATTGGGGTACCGGTCTGGTCCGGTCAACGACGCAGTCATAACCAAGTTTTGTTCAAGTTATGAGCAATTGCTCACACATAACTGTGGCGCACCTGCCCCGCCTACAAGGCACTTTTAACCTTCCTTCCTTCTGTGTTCTGTGGCCATGACCCACAACGCGGGCCAATGCGGATTAGTGGGTGGGTGGGTGATCAACAGCTTGACGTGCCTTCCAACACAGGGAGGAGCTTAAGATAATAAGTTTTTGGTCACCCATCCAACATCCAATGATCGACCATTGCCAAAGTTGCTTAACTTTCATGATCGCAGCCCGATTGCGTTAGTAACCTGCGCTACCGAGCTCCTCTAATCAATTGTATATCAATCAATATGTATTTCTATATAAAAAAATTCAGTCACAATTCATATCGAACACTGACTTGGGCTGCAGATGCTCTAGTAATTTGTCATCCATCCAGGAGACACAGTTCATGATCTGGTGAGGCTTGTGCTTTGAGGGGTATATTTTGTCCTCCAGCACTTCCAGATCACAGTGGGTATACGCCGTGGAGACGTGCACGAAGACCTGGAAACCGAACGCAGAAGTAAGAGCTATAAAAGTATACACCGTGAATTTTGAGTTACCTGAAAAACTTTACTAGCTAATTCCATCAACGAGTTATATTTGTATCTTATTAGGTTATATTTGTTTCTTACACATAGTGTCGCCGCACTCGGGCCACCGACCACAACCACAAAACGCCGCCACCGGTATATTTCTTGTAGTTTTCATGCTTTTTATATGGACTCGCCACATACGGTACGCCGGTGGCCGCCACATGCTACAAATCGTCGTTGCTCGCATAATGCGCTGATACAAAATGCCGCCACACGTCACTCGCGCGACTCCCCACCCCTCTCTCCCTTACCTTAGTCGGCCGCTGTCGCGCGCTTCAGCCACTTTAGTAGCCGCTTCTAACTTCTGGTGGCGGCGTTTGTGGCTGTGGCGTGTGGCCCGTGTGCGGCGACGCTTACAAGTGTTAGAAATATTTAGTGAATCTGGTCGGTTCGGCCACTAGTCATAGTCGTGGACTAGTGCAAGAGATGCCTTATCCTACCTCTTAGAGCCCCAGAACCTTACTCAGAAACAGAAACGCAACACCGCCGAAAAGAAGTGTTATTTTGGGCGGTGTAGTCTGTAGTCATCTGTAAGTTGGAAGTTGCTTCTTGCTTCCCAAGACGGGAGCTCCAATTCGAGTATACCAACCTCTCATAAAATGAATAATGTCAAATAGATTCCTAAACTCTTTGATTCTCACCTCCAGCTTGGTCATCCCGGAGGCCAGATCCAGCACCCTCTGGGTCCCAACGGTGTTAAAGTTGACCGCGTCCCGGATAAGCATGTCGAATCTGAAATTAACATTAGTAACTTTATGGCAAGTGAGATAAGTTTTGATTTCGGCTGAACGATAGTGAGGAGACCGATGGCGCAGGTGGCTAACGCTTTCGGCTGCAATCGTTGAAGCTAAGCAACTTTCGCAATGGTCAGTCATTGGATGGGTGACCAAAAATCTTCTATCAAGAGTTCCTCCGTGTTTCAGAAGGCACGCTAAGACGTTGGTCCCGGCTGCATCTGCAGTCGTTAGCATTCGCCAGTCCGCACTGGGCCCGCGTGATGGGTTATGGCCCAATCTCCCTATTCCATCCATAGGGAAGGCCTGTACCCCAGCAATGGGGACATTAATAGGCTGATGATGATGATGATAGTACCCTTTTAATTTCAATGCTCAAACTACTAGATTTCTTGAATTTAGGTAAAATATTGTACCTACTCAATTTCTACAAACACCTTTATAATATAGGTATTTCTGACAGCCCTCTGTGCAGAGCCTGCCTGGAGGAGGAGACGAGCACCCATGTTCTGTTGGAGTGCAGAGGCGTTGCAAGACAAAGGACTTCTCTAATGAGAAGCCCGCGGACACTAGTAGAAGCCTGTAGTAACATTCGGGGACTGCTTAGCTTTCTGGAGGAGCTGGGATGGCAGGACTGATGCCAATCCCCACGCAAAATAGGCACTGAGTGTCGAGTTGCGGAAACATCCCGCCATACTACTAAGACTAAGACCTACTCAATTTTACTCTTAATATTTTAGTTTATGATTTGAAAACTCCTCACCTTGCCGGTCTGCAAAGGTGCTCTTAACGCCTCTTTTCAAGGAGCCCAGGTTGTACGAGGGAGGAAACACGTGATGACGACACCGGACAAAGCATAGTAGGACAAAGATCTTAGACCAGTTGTACGGGAACCGATGTCGCCGGCTCGCCTCCGCTACACTTCCACCTAATAGTTAGGGCTGCCATCTCTAAAATGAGGCAACCAGGATAAGACGCGTGTTAGCCCCGGATTTTAAAGCCCAGAGCCCGGACAGACCAATAAAAAAACAGTTAAAAATGTCACGGTCAAGAGTAAGGGGCTGGTATTGGGGTGCTCCAGCCCAGAGGACCAGTGCTTTGTAAAGTAACACCCGATATTTAGGCTTGAGGTACTTACTAGATCTATTGAACACACAAGCTTTTTCACACACACTTGTGTCTTTGCTGGGTTAATCCAATCAAATTTTGTTGGCTCCAATTTGATACTTGATCCAGTAATATCTCAATCTCGGTTCACCCGTCTTCTTCCATCCGAGGGATGTTTGTCGGGCCGGTGTAAAAAGTTTCAGTGCTGTCATCCACATAGCAACGAATGCTATTATTGCGGACAGTGTGGGCGACAAAGCTGATCTTTGTTGGAAGTCAGCATTTATAGTTACAGTGTTAGAATAGATTTATTTATTTTCAAAGACATTAAATTGACGGATTAATTGGCGACCCAAACAGGAGATTTTTAAACCCGGACTACAAATGAAACCCCGCCCGGACGCTCCCCGGACGCACCGTAAACTAGGACAAATCCGGGGAAACCCGGACGGATGGCAGCCCTGCTAATAGTCAATAGCCAATCAAACAACCTGACATCAAATAATCGAACCAATCAGCGCTCACAGCTAAGAGCAACGGCGCAATCGGAACCAAGTTTTGGTCAAGTTATGAGCATTTGTTCAATCATAACTGTGGCGCGCCTGCCCCTTGCCGCTTCTAACCTCTTTCTGGGTTCTGTGGGACAAAGCATTCCATTTTCATTGAAACTACCTGACACAAGCAGCGCAGTGGAACACCACGTGACACTCCTTCTGCAGCATCTCCCGGTCGTCAATGCTCATTCCCAGGTCTTCCACCAAGATGTCACCTGGAACCACTCGCAGCTTCTGCAGCTGTTCTGGATACTCGCTTTTTAAGTAGTCGAACACCTGGAAAACAAGTACTATAAAGATCGTTTATTCTTCATAAATAATACATAGCTACATAGATTTCTATGCATCAAAAAACATTTGTTTTCATTTCTGAAATATTCTTTCTTAATGGTATTGCTACTCGTCAAAAGATGGCGTTACAACTCACCCTGTAGTTCAAAAACTCGTGTATCCTTTCCTTACTACTGTGCCCCTTCTTGGACCTCATGAGTACGTACAAGCACTTTACATCGGGACAAGACCTCAGGATCTTCTCCACCAATACTTTTCCCATGAAGCCTGTGGAGCCCGTGATGAATAAAGACCTTCCAGCGTAGTACTCCTTTACGCTAACAGATGGCGCCATCGTCAATGTGCCTACAACATGTTTTTTTAAACCGCTTAAATTTAAATAAAACAAGTAACATATTTAAAAATAATGTTTTTAATTAATTAGATTAGACATATTTTTGTTTGAACAAATTACTGATGATAGATTCTATCCGAAAAAGTTTCAAATTTAGTGGTGCCATAAAAAGTGTATTCGTGTCTGTTTTAACATCCGCTAACTCCTGCTAAATTACACAATGGATTTCAAGGCGGGTTTCACGTACCAAAGTAAAAGTACCTACACTTCTATACATAACAAATCCCAAGAACAAAAACGATATTCTTACAGAAGAGGGCGGGTCATTAGATAATTTTAAATCTTCCCCCCCCCCCCCCCCCCCTCTAAAAGCTAAACTGGCTTGAAAAACCTAGAAAAATCATGATAATAGTGATTTTTATAAACTTACTAGCTGACCCAGCGAACTTCGTACCGCCATAAAAATGGGGCAGGTAGGTAGAAGAGAAAATTTAGGGTTGTATGTATTTTTAATACCACATAATAAAAATAAAATGTCCAAAAAAATTTTTGGATTGTGTAACGTAGTGTTCTATCAATTTCCTGGGATAACATTCCTCCTAACCCATATGAGAACACTACGTTATAATACACAATAGTTTGAATTTTGGCGAGAAGGCGCATTGTAGGTTTCAGAACACTACGTTACAGGTGGACAACCATTATCACTTAAGGATATGAAAAATAGATAGTAGCCGATTCTCAGACCCACAATATGCATATAAAATTACATAAAAATCGGTCAGGCCGTTTCGGAGGAGTATGGTAACTAACATTGTTACACGAGAATTTTATATCTATAACCTTGCATTGCAACAAAATCTAAGCAAAAACTATTTAAAAATCACAGTAAATTATCATTAGTTCCACAACGCTACCGCGAGTACCAACGGCAAAGGCTTCTGAATCGCGCTAACGTTATGTTTTTTTATAAAAAGTATACCTAAGCACTTGAAAATATCGGCGGTTAGGTCCCCTTCTCAGGGGATGATCGCTTTAGATGAAGCTTTTAGTCAGTAAGAGTCAGACATAACCTTGCAGCCGGCTGTAGGGTATCCATGAGGATTTCATACCCGCTCCCACGCCTGGGTAACGATGAAACGATACCATCTATGTATCGATACTTTTACTCGATACTGTATCGGTCATAATGCTCGATCGTATCGATGCATACTTGGTATCGCATAAAAAGTATCGACACTTACTTGTATCGATAAATTTTGACGAACGATATTACAATTACAAATTCAGTCACAGTTTTAATTTAACGCAATGAACGAATGACTGAGTGAATAAATTGGAATAAATATAAATCATACGCAAGGCTGCCAACTGAGGAGTAGAAAAGATGCGGTCGCGAAACAAAAAATCCAACTAGACACATACACACTTCTATAGAGTAAATAATACACACCGACACAATTTATCAAACATTTAAAAGCCTTTCTTATTGCCAAGTGTTATTATGACTTAAATGAATTTTTCTATGACAAATCACCCAGCCAATGGAATGCTTCAGACTCTTAAGAATTTAATTTATAATGAATGTATTTAAATGAAGAATAAATAACAATATTTTAATGAATTTATGGTGTCGATTCTAGCATGATTCTCTAAACTTTTCCATTATGTATTGGGAATGATAAGGATACACTGTCGTCAAATTTAGGTTTGGGTTGGAGAGTCATGCTAGAATTGAGACCAAACACCAATGTATGTAAAGAATGATTAAAACTTAGTTTATAAATTATATTGTGCAATTGTATAATAATATATTTTAAATAGATTATAACCCTCTAAAGTTGCTGTGCCCTTGCAGGGCGTCACATAGTTACTGTATTTGTTATGTACCACCTTATTTTTGTGAATGTGATATGCAATGAATGAATGAATAAATAAATAATAATGGGTTTTTTTGATACTGTTCAGTGAGTGACCGACCAAGTAGCGATACAAGTATATACTTCACGATACTACTTGTTACTCAGTTCTAAAGTATCGATGCCAAAAGTACTTGGTATCGAAAGAAAAGTATCGAGTAGTTACTTGTACTTACTCGTATCGTTTCATTCCTACGCCTGGGAGGAAACAAAAAAAAATAACGACGGTTATTATTTTTATAAAAACAAAAAAAAATTTGATTGATTGATGATTTTGAGTTTGAGACGCAGTTTGCCTTTGATTATTTGTTTTTCTAATTTCCGATATAGAAAATAAAGACTCCGGCTCAAATATATTGTGGTAACTACAGGCAACTACGGAACCCTACACTGCGCGTAGCACGACACAGACTTGGCCGGATTTTTGAAGTCATACTTCTTTAGCCGCGTTATGAAAAAATTATGAGAGTGAAATTTTAAGATGCGCGCGCATCACTGTAACACAAAAGTAACATAATGAAGTTAGCCGCGGGCGCGTTATGAAAAAATGATGAGAGTGAAATTTTAAGATGCGCGCGCAACACTGTAACAGAAAAGTAACACCATGAAGTCGGCCGCTAAACCGCACATTACTAGTAAGTCTCGAAAAAAAGCTTCCAACAAAATAGTAATAGGATCTCTTAGTCGCACACGTTGGGACGCTCGTCGCCTCTGATCACTGTTTTCATATTTATAATATTTATCCACATGTTTCTAGTTTCTATATTCTTAACACGTGTTATAATGATATACAAATGCGAAATTTATATGTGCTAATAAAGTTTATTCAGTAGTGATTTAAATTGAATATTTTGATTATTTATTAAATTTTTCAATTTAAAACTGAACTTTATTGACTGCGTTGACTATCCTTTTCCAATCCTTTTATTATCTTATTGTAATTAATTATCTGCATGCAATTAAAAACTATTTTTTAATAATTCCAAATAGAAGTATAACTTCTCACGCGCGTACTTAAGTACACGCACCCATATTTTTTAAATACAAACTTACCTAATTATAAATATTATGAACACGTCTAGATTATTTGATATTTGCAGCAAACAATTGCCTTTACTTTGTAATCTTTCACGACTGAATTTTGACTGAAAACTGCGTTAATATAGAGAGCCAAGAGTTGTTATAAATTCTGAATTTATTGACACGAAAGGTAAGCGCCTTTCTGACCTGTATTGTAATCTGAAGATTTGATAATAATTGATGATGATGATAAAGATTGTCATAATTTTAACCGACTTGAAAAAGGCGAAGGTTCTCAATTCGTCAGTACATTTTTTTTAATTTTTCTGTATCTCCGAGATGCGTGGACCGATTGTGATGAATCTTGCTAGGTGTTGATTGGGTGAAGATCTGATGTACTTTCGAAGAAAACAATGGACCTCCTCAATTACAAACAGTACACAATTAGTTAGAGGAGCTCGTTGGCGCAAGTGGTTAGCGCTATCGGCTGCAATCGTTGAAGTTAAGCAACTTTCGCAGTGGTCGGTCATTGGATGGGTGACCAAAAATTTACTATCTCGAGTTCCTCCGTGCTTCGGAAGGCACGTTAAGCCGTTGGTTCCGGCTGCATCTGCAGTCGTTAGCACCCGCCAATCTGCACTGGCCCCGCGTGGTGGGTCATGGCCCAATCTAACTATTCCATACATAGGGAAGGCCTGTGCCCCAGCAGTGGGGACATTAATAGGCTGATGATGATGATGACACAATTAGTGTTTATGTCAAGAGATACTAAAGAGATAACGCAGACCTATACTTAGTTAGTTGATTCTGGCTAAGAAAAATAAAAACATATTAAAAAAAACTAAATTCGAATTCATAAAAAGTTTTTATTCATATTTCAGAAGAAAAGACAAACCGTCGGCAAAAATGACACTCCTTTATTTGAATACCTTAAAACAGTAGGGTATTTGACAGTATTAAAAATAAAGTGCCAATTGTTAGCATCTGTGTTTAGAATGAATATTAGCAGGGGTTTTTACTATTTTTTTACAATAAAAAATATATATATCCGTATCTTTTTACAGAATATCCATATCCGTATCTTTTTACAGACTCTATAAACATTAGACAATAACGTGAGATCGTTGCCTAAAACTTGTCAAATACCCGGTGGGAAATCCTCATCAAATCAAACCATCAAATCATTTGAACTGGAAGTCAAAGGGAACCTTAGAGATGTGGGATTATGCAATTCTATACTGTCTCAACCGAGTCCAAAAGTAGCTATTAAGCTATACAACTTAATTATAAAATTGTTTAGAATAAGGAGTAGTAAAAGTTAATTAATAGTACAATTATTGTAAACACTAGACTAAAACATAACTTGTAAAAACAACCAAGTCTCGCAACTCAGTTCTACTTCTTCTTAGGGGTGGGCGTTTTTAGAATAACGCATCCGATGCGACTGGATGCCGTTATTGGATGCCGATGCCATCTAGTTTTCGTCAACGTTACCATAGCAACGGTGCTACAAACTTATCTGTGCCGGTGAAGATGTCGCTAGCGGTGAACAAATATGTCATAAAAATGTCACAATTCTATGGACAAAAAATACGCGCGTGAGAAGTTGTACTTCTTTAGCATCATTAAAAATATTTTTTAATTGCATGCAAATAATTAATAATTACAATAAAATAATAAAAGGACTGGAAAAGGATAGTTAACACAGTCAATTAAGTTCAGTTTTAATTTGAAAAATTAAATAAATATTCAAATTATTCAATTAAAATCACTACTGAATTTAAGTTATTAGTCCATATGTAATTAGCACTTGTAAGTAACTAAAACACGTTGTGTCTATATAGAAACTAGGAACATGTGGATAAATATTATAAATATGAAAACAGTGATCAGAGGCGACGAGCGTGCCAACATTGTTTTTGACAACGCGATCATCTTATGGAGCTCCGTGGATCGTTCAAAGTACCTTTCGAACAGATGTCTAATAATGGTGGATTATTAACCACTAAGTGGTTAATAATCCACCATTATTAGACACTAACATTCATAACGCGCCCGCGGCCAACTTCATGGTGTTACTATTGTGTT